AATTTTGGAATTACATGAAGATCTGTTGAAAGATTTTCATTCTATATTAAGAAATTGAAACTGTGTGAATATTGGATCAAATAGAATAATGATGAATTTTATATTTGAATAAATAGAAATAGAAATAATAGCATTTATTATTAATAGCCTTATTGCCTGTTTAGAAACTTAACGTGCTGAAAAGAGATAAGATGATACAAATTATATTAGATAATGAAGCAGATTATTCTGAGATTTGCTAAAGAACTTTAAATGGAAAAGAAAAGAGTTTATAAAATCATGTTGAATGCAATGAAAACATCAATATCATATTATCTGATGACATTCCCGAGGAACTTGTGTATCATCCGCTATGATAAACGACACGAGTGTATTTGGATAGATGATCATGTCCTGATATTTAAAAGAGTTCGTTAAAATATTTCAAAAGACTTCCAATATCAGCTATTCACCTTTTTTTTTCAGACTTCTTTGTATTCAACTATATTTCACATTTTAAAAATCAAAACTTCACTTACACTAATTTAATGAAAAGTTCATAAAAATTCTTGTTTGCTTGTTTCTTGAAATTTTTCGCGTAGAAAAACGATTTCGTTTTAATTCAAACAAACAACAATAACAAGACTTCGTATCCATAAAACATTTTTTTTCAAAAACAGTATGAAACTTTTAAATAGATCATATTGGATTAATTCATTTGTTTCTAATTGACTATGCAGTACCGTTATTTCATCTTCATGTCTCCAATACGGCCTCTAGTCGTTAATTAATTTGAACTTTTAGACGATGTTTGTATCTTTTACAAAAAGCATGCGATTAGCAGATGTTAGTGTCAGATAATGAGAGTTATTGCAGTGTGAAAAAAGTAATACCTCAAGATATTTGAGAGATTTTTCAGTGATTTTCAAAGTCAGGAGTGGTGTGTCTACTCAATAATATTGACTCACTAAAAGTAAACAATTAAGTTTTCTGAATTTAATTGAAATTATTCGCGAATGTGGAACCCATTTACTTTTCATAATAATAAAACATCTAGTGAAATAGGTACTCTTTATAGTTCTGAATTTCGAGGTTTTAATAGAAAAAAAATAGTTCTATAGATTGTTTCGAAAATTCGAAGAGCTACATATTATATAACGACTTGAAGTCGGAATAGCCTACACAACTTTCTCATCAACTTTTAGTACTATGTTTAATCAAATAATATGTTAATTCTTTTGTTGAAGCTTAGTTATAATTCATTACATGCCCTACTTTTTTAATCATTTGAAAAGTCTATCGCATCGCATTGCCAAAGGGACTAAAGTCGGCTTAAATATTTGTTTCTCAAATTAAGTACAACATGAATGAAATAATACAATACTAAATCAATCAAACAATAATTGAATATCTCGATGCTTGAATTAATGTCAAGTGATCATATTCATTTTGTGGTCTTCTGGTTATATTGTTGTTCTGAATCTTGAAAATTGTCTTCGCCAATAAACTATTTTTGCTTGACATATTCGCTTTATGTCAATCATCGACATGAGACACATAAATAGAAAGATCAGAGGAACAAAATAAGTGAAAAAAAAATGTACTATATAAAATTTTCATCAAGATATAATGACCTACTACACAAATGAGCAATATAAAAAATATTTAGAGGAATATTAAAAATAAGGTTGAGACTAGAAAACGACATAAGTTGAATTGTCATTCATCGTTGTTTACAGTATTGAAATGGCTGATGCAAACGATGTTTCTATGAGATTACTCGTAAAAGGAAAGTCAAACTGAAAAATGATTCGAGTAATGATGGAATCAAGTTATTCATAAATAAATCCCATATTCACATAAATCGATTTCCATAACATAGACTTGTACGACAAAGTGGTAATGTAAAATCATGAGCATCATGACAAGGAGGAAAATAAATAGAATATATATAAAAAATCAAAATATATAATGTGTGATGATGCATCTTTTTCTTGTTAATATCCACTGATCATGGAATACGATAATATGTCGCTCAAATGCCATCCAAGCCATAAGTATTGTTCCTCCATTATACAAGTCAATATCGGTAAAAATCCAAATAAGACAAATTGATATATTTGTTGGAAAAACAATGGAATGCACAATAAAGTTAAGATACAAAAGTATACCAATTATTTCTGTACCTAGACCAAAAACAAGCAAAGCAACGAGAACATGATTTTTGACACTGTAACGAGCTTTTCGATTGATAAGAACATGAAGGAAAACAATGAGTGTAAAAAATATTGATAGAATATCAGATGGAAGAAGAATCCAAAATCGAGCGATACGTAGTAGAGAAATTTCTGAACTATCAGATGAACTGTTGCTCGTATTGTCTGAACTTTGATTGTCGAATATAATTGACAATTTCACGGTTATCTAAAAATAATTAACATAAGATACTCGTTTAAATACGAAATGAAGTTTGGTCTCGTGAGAAAAATGAATAGCGATATTATTTTATTAAATATTCATATTAAACGATTTGAATTGGTTTAGTGTAATGACCAGCAAAAATGTATTTTTATGTCGACTTCAATATTTTCAAAGATTATTCACGCAGATAGATGATGCATATTATTGTAATTGAACTTACATCATTTACTGTGTTATGTGTAATCAATATGGTAACCTATTCGAAGTTTTCGTTTCTTTGTCTGTAGCTTCAATAGGTCGATTTTCATTATCAATTTTCTATAAAAGTGTTTTTTATAGAGAACATTTTAAAAGTCTGTCCATTAAATAGAAAATGAAAGATTGCCCAAAAGAAAATTATTCTTTCAGGTGAATTTATCCGTAATAGAAAGATCATTAAGACACTTGTCAGATGAGTATAATATTCAGGTCCAGATCTGGAAGTTTCAGATGAGGATACAGTAATTTAATCTTTTAAAAAAAAAATAGGTTTCCATGTGACTTTGAAAATCGATATTTAAATAATTAGATCTGAATAGTTAATAAAAGCATCAATAGAATTCTGAAATTATTTTCATTGCGAACAAATTTTACGTAAATCATGAATATCGATTTTCTAGATACACGAGGTTTCGTGCATTTTTTCAAATAAATATAAATGATAATTTTATGCATAATCATTCTAATGAACATTTTTCAACAAAATATTAATTTTTTATAAAACTCAATATAAAATAAAATTATGTAAAAGTTAATTCAATAATAAGAAATATAGATTTAATGTAAGGAAAAATTCTCTACTACTTATGAAGAAATATCGAATAAGTGTCATTTATTCTACTTGCTTGTGTCGATTGTTTGAAATATCTCGATAATGATTCTTTACATGTGTTTATATTTACCAGGTGAAGTAATAAAATCTTGAAAGGAAAGCATATTCTCTTTTGCTTTTTGAAATTATAGGCTAGAATTTCATATTGAAAACTTTTAAATGCACAACCATATTTAATTTTGGATCATCAAAGTAGTGGGACAAACTTTCCATGTTGCTACTTTATTGTTTTCATTATATTTCTTTTCGGAAGTTTTCAATTCATCAGCAACCTTAAAAAAATGTAGATTAAAAACATATTCTGAAGCTCATGCAATCTCATACAAACATTTGATAACCATGATTATCAATAGGATTTTGTTTTTTTATTTTTTTTTTATATGTTAGTTAATCTGTGACTATAAAATAAGAACAAAATATATTTTATTAATTAACAAATAGTACAACATATTATTCTGAGTTTTACTAAAAAAAAATTGATAGTAAAAAATGAAAGATTTAGAAATGATTCCAGCAGAAACTGACTAGAGATCATTGGAAAATATTTGAAAACTTTCCGATCTAAGCCTAGATCAAACATGCGTGGTCGAAAACGAACGTTTTATCGTAATTTCATGTGTTTGATAACAATCATATCACAACTGTACTGTATTCATCGTTGACACAAACTCAAACTTTTAAGGAAAGCAGTCAAACTTTAAAACAATATTATAGAAACTCGCTTTCTATAGTGAGGACTCTGATGATACAAGTTCTTTTAATGTGTGATATATGACAGGTTGAGTATTGCTTCATTTGATAACGACAACATGTGAATAGTTTCAAACGTATACAACGCTTCTTTAAATTAGATTTATTCAAAATACATTACGAATAACTCCTTTTTTTTTGCCCTTTCCATTTGTTCATTGATTTTTTGCTTTTTCACACGATACTAATGTAAAAATTGTCAAACATTTTTACACATCTGTCTTTTCGAAGAAATTGTAGATGTAATAACCAATTAAAAATGTCACGATCTGATCTAAGTAGAGAATCAAATGTATGCAATGTGCACAATTACTCCGAATTTCGAATATTCGAACCGAAAACCAGTGCAATCAAAAGCGTTCTGGGTAATTTCAGTCGGAAAAATGTGTATCAAACGAGACTGATGAACATCATATTTATTAGGTTATCTTTAACTAACACAGTTTGCTTTTTTATTTTGAATGTTTGTCTTTGATTCTCTGTTTAAGTACTCTTTTTCTCCACAAAATTGAAAAAATAATACAATATAGGAATCAAATCGATGACAGCAGTGTTATTGCTCCGTAACTACGACATATGCATATTATTGTGCTTTTATCTATAAAATAGTAGGATCATCATTAATCCATTTTGCTCATGAACTTCTCTATAGAGTCAATTCATCGATTAAGATGCTCGAATATAATGCTCTTTTGTTTCAAATAATTTAACATTGTCATCACATAATCTACAGCATTCGACATTTATTTTTGTATGATTCTCATTGTCGTCTTTTACAAATATCTTTTCTTTCAAGGTAAAAAGCAATCGAAGATAAGACTGTATAAATACGATTCATTCGCGTGTTAGTCAAAATAAATCTGAATCACGTATAACGATGTATTCTAACAGTCAAGTAATTTTTATTTTGTTCATATGTTTTTCGACAATAATAGCCTTGGAAAATTACAAATTTACGATAGAAAACAATTGGCTTTCTATGCCCGATGGTGTTCGTCTTTCAGTAACACTCACTGTACCGATTGTGACACGATGTAGTGAAACATTTCCAGTTCTACTTCAATATAAACCCTATCGAAAAGATGATGCTTTATTTTATAGTGATCAATCTGATGCTCGATATTTAGCACGTCGAGGTTTTATAGTGAGTAACACGATTTTAAGATTCTTTTTTTATCTAAATTATTTTTCTTTGACTTCAGGTTGCTCAAGTTGATATACGCGGTACAGGCTCATCAGAAGGTGTTCTTGTTGATCGTGAATACAGTTCACAAGAATTGAATGACTGTGAGCAGATTATTCAACAACTTGCTAATGATCATCGTTCAAATGGACGAGTAGGAATGTATGGTATTAGTTGGTCAGGTTTTAATACTCTTATGATGGGTACTTTACGACGACCACCTGCTTTACGAGCTTTATTTGCTGCTCATGGCACTGATGATTTGTACAAAAGTGATATTCATTATCCGGATGGTATCATGCATTTGGATAATTATTTGATTTTTATCGATCATATTAATGGAATACCATCATCCCGAGGTTATAATATCAATGAACAATGGATGAAAGAACGATTCAGACAACGACCTTGGATTGATCTTTATCTTTCTCAACAAATCGATGGCTCATTTTGGAAAGAAAATTCAATCAAATATGCCTATAATAATCTAACATTACCTGTTTATCTGATTGGAGGATTATACGATGCGTATGTTATCTATTTTTAGTAGTATGACCAATGAATTGTTTTTTTTTGTTTTGTTTTAGTTATAGAGATTTTGCTCTGCGTGTATACGAAAAGTCTCGTCAAAATTCACCAAAAATAAAAGTAACCATTGGTCCATTTGTTCATGCAATGCCTGAAAATGTCAATCGACATCCAGGACCCAGCTTTGATGGCAAAGCAGAAATGATACGATGGTTCAATTATTGGCTTAAAGATGATAAAAATGGCACGGAGATCATGAAAGAACCAGAAATCACTCTTTTTGTTAGAACAGGTCTCACTACAGGTCATTATCGATATGAAACTGAATGGCCGATTGCTCGTCAAGAGATACAACGTATGCACATGTGTAAAGGTCATCAATTAATTGAAAAAAATGCTTGTAATGATGTGGATACCCTCGAATATCGACCATGGATTGGTTTTGAAGCAGGCACTTGGTTAGGAGGATTAACAGGAGATCAACAACCTTTTGATAAAGATTGTCTCGTTTACGATAGTGAGCCGATCAACACAGCAATTGAAATCATTGGTATTGTTAATGTTTCACTTCATGTAAGAGCATTGATATGAACAAGATTCTTCAAATATAGTCGATAGTATTTGTCATTTTAGGTTAGTACTACTGCTCGCTTAACTCATTGGATTGTACGTTTGGAAGATGTAGACATCAATGGTCAAGTATTATTAGTTACAACAGGAGCATTGAATGGTGCGCAAAGACAAAATTCTCCTGCCTATCTGCAACCAAACCGTCGATATACAATTATATTTCCACTTCGATTTACTACATGGACATTTTATAGTGGTCATCGTATTCGTATTTCTGTTTCCAATGCTATGTTTCCTACGTATTGGCCAACTCCATTTTCTATGAACACTTCTCTTTTTCTCAATTCATCAGTTACATTCGTTGACTTGCCAGTTTTACCAGTTCTTTCCTCATCACCACCACCACCACCATCATTCACCCAAAAGCAAGTTTCATCAGATGATATACTTCCAGAAGTGTTCTCCGCTGCTAAACCAAGACTCTATAAAAGGTATGAAACAAATACTACAACTACAATTACTTTCGAACGAATCTCTTATGAACTTTTGCCTAATAATTGTTTTATGTCCGCTTTACAAACATTTAATTTAACTTGTTCTCATCGTGATCCAAGTGTTGTACGTTGGTCAGGACGTGCACAACAAACCTATGTATTCGATGTACGTGGTTATGGATCTATCGATGATATACCTCTTAGAAATGGTGATCCGCAATTATATCCAAATATAGATTTAACAAAGAGGAAACATTTTATTGTATTGACAGAATCGGAAGTTCGCTCTGATCGAGACTGTTTTTATATTAACTTCAAGCGACAACTATTCCAATCGAATTCTACAAAGAATCAGTCATCACATGTGTTTACATTCAAAGGAAAACATAAAAGACGTTTCCAATAGAATAATTGACAGATGGATTTTGCGTCGATATTTAATATACTTATCGAAAGACTCAGAAAAATTTGTCTTGTATAGAATAAAAAAATACATTGAAAGCATTATTCAATTTTTAGATCATTACCCGTTTTGTTGACTTCCTCAAAAGTTAAATATTCAACCAAAGAGTTCTTACTACAGCACATTTTAAGACATAGTTTTAAATAAATCCATTGAATCTACATAATAAGTCTCGAAACTGAAATGTCCTTTACTAAACGTAGTAGTTTTAACTATTATTTATTTAATACTTCTCACGAACATTTTAGTTAAAGACTGAACATTTTATTCTAGCTTCTTCAATACTCTTGAGGGTGTGAGTGTGGGTATAGGAAGAATAGTTGGAGTACCACACCCGCACTCCACTCCGACACAGTATATGTCTAGAAGAAACATTAAAAAATAATATTTTCTAGGATATGTCCAAGAAAATTGTGAGATACTAAAATTTAATTGATATGCACAACGAGCGCAAAAAAAAACAAGTAGGTTAATATTGTATCGTGTGAAAATTGTATGTTTGATTCATAGTATTTTGTGTTCTTCAACCTGTTCGAACAGCGAGTAGCAGAATGAACAAAAAATATGATGAGATTTTTATGGAAAAAAATATACCCAATTAATTTACGTAAATAAATGACAGAACAACCAAAACGAAAAAAAAAACATTTTAACGGAAGAGAAATCAGAAAATGTGATCAATGTATCATCATATTGGATAGAATAAGCAAACANAAGAGCACTGGTCCGGTTAACCAGCTATCATGTCTTGGGTTCGATTCCCGAACGAAGCATATCATTTTGTTTTTCTGAATGAAAAATTCAAACATTGAAAAATAAAAGGAAGAAAAAGTATATCATATAAAACATGTTTAGATTTAATGTCGTTTTCAGATATGAGTTTACGTTTCAACTATTGATAAATAATACTATAGGATTCGACACATAGTAAGAAAAGTACCATTATTTTATGTATTGTCTTAATAACATTGATTCACTCACGATTACGCTTCAAGAATATAAGGTAAAATAACATATGAAGGAATCCGTACGAATCTCTCGTCAGTACTGATGACACAGGCTGATTCTTAAAACAATTCTTGTATAGAGTAAAGCTCTCTTCTCCAATAGGTACTGTGAATGGCATTTGTGACTGTGGGCCAAGATACAATGTAGATATATGATTGCTATTGAAGAGAAGGATAAAAGACTGACAAATCTGGACAGATCTATATCCATATCCATAGTTACACACGAATATTATCAATTGTTTCATCAGAATGAACTGTAAAATTAACAAAAATACTTCTTGTGCAATTTATTTTAATTCTTCTTATTATGACACCTTTTACACAGTAGACCTCTATTGAAATTCATTCATCAATAATGAATACAATTCCGTATTAAAACTTGGCTACTGTTCATCTACTTTTAGTTCATTAATTTAGGATTATAATATCTTGCTGCATCAAAATTCATGCCAATCATTCATGAAACTACGAAATTTATTTTATACTTTACTATTTATTACATGTGATTTTCATCAATCTTTGAAGCTTATTTTCAAGCAAAATACAACATCAAAGGAATAAAATGATTTCTAATTGTTCATTGTTAAAACCAAAATTAATATTCAAGTTAAAATTGTGCGATCATATTGGTTCTATAGCCTTCTGGTTTAACAGTTGCTGTGAAATCATGTGACTGTTCGCGATTGTCGATGAAGAATTTTTTCTCGAAATATTTTCTTTACGTCGATTATAGACACGAAGCAAATGTAAGAAAATATAAAAAAAATAAAATAGCAGAAAAAATAAACATAGGCTACTGCATCATCTCCGATACTCGACGGCACACCACATAAATGAGAAATATATACAATACTGAGGGGAAAGTTCAGGGAAAAATCGGGAACGGATAATGCCAATAGTTGAATTGCCATTTTTCGCTGTTTACGCCAATGAATTTGCTGACGTGTACGACATTTCTGCCAGATTACTCGAACAAGAAAACTCAAAGTAATGAATGGTTCAAGAATCGATGGTATGATACTATTAGTAAATACATCCCATGCATAGAAATTTTCATTATTTAGATAACAGGGAATGTAACCACAATACATGCATGTATAATCATAAGCATTTTTGCATGGATAAAAATAATAAAAATATATAACGTAATGGAAAATAATGGTATATAATGTGTAATTATTCTTTTTTTTCTTGTTGATATCCATTGATTATGAAATACGATAATATGTCGTTCAAAAGCCATCCAAGCCATAAGAATAAGAATGAGTGATCCATCGTACAAACCAACATCGACAAAATACCAAATTAGACAAATCGATGGATTTGCTGGAATAACAGCAGAATGCACAAGGTAGTTGAGATAGAATGGTACATCAATTAATTGAATAGTCAAGCCAAGTAGAAGCAAAATGACCAGAACATGATTTGTTATGCTTGACCGTGCTTTTCGATTGGTAAAAATGTAAAACAGGACAATAAATGTAGATAAAGTAGATAGTATATCAAATGGAAGAAGAATCCAAAAACGAGCAACGAGTGGTAAAGCGCTATCAAAACTACTCTCAGATGAACTGGTACTGATATCATTGAAGCTTTGATTGTCAGACATTTCGAGAAATTTTTGAATAATCTAAAAATAATTTCATATGAAGGTAGAAATTAAGATCCGAAGTGAACGTGATTAAAATTAGAGAGTACCATTGAAACTTCGTTTTATTGAAAAAACGATCCATGTTATTAATTTGGCGATCATCTCTCGTAAACTAATCAGATGGATACATGCTGATGCATAACAGAATAACAAATTAGTATGCTATAAAGTTTGATTGGTAATCAAAAAGAAGAAGGTAATGGTATCTAGCAGTGATCAGTTCTCTTAAAATATAAAATAGACGTATGAAAAATGTTGTATGAGAGATATTGAGCACTTAACTAATAGTAAATCCTTCGAATATTTCATCGCGAGATACAAAACGTTTTCCTGCTTCTACTACAGAGAAAGCAAGATTATTCAATATATTGTTGTCATGAATTCATTGCTGGTTTCTAATCTAAAAACAATCATTCGTTTTAATAGATTGCGAACAGTAGCCGATAAACTAAAGTTTCTAATTACATCTTCATTCTTATAAGCTGGAAATCGAGACATATCACTATTTTCCATAATGCTCAGTATAATACAAATTTTAATTTTTTTTTAATATTTATACTTTACGTCTTGACTCCGGCTTTGAGTTCCTTATAAAATCTAGAAGGAGCTCTATATCTTAATATGTATGATATTTCCACAATGAATATAATGTTTTTTTTTTACGTTTTAAAGCATTTCGCATATTTTTCACCAGATAGAAAATGTAACAAATGAAATATTCTGCAATAAATTCTGAATTATTTTATATTCAGCTAGAATTTTATTATTTTTTTCTGTCCAAAAGAGTTGTAAGAAAAAGACAGCCATGAAGGTTTCTTTCATGTGAAATAATGCATAATATCATTAGAAGATCATTTGCTTGTCGTCTACAACTTCAGAGGATTTATTTATGTTATCATCTATCCGAGAAAGTTTTTTTCTCAAAAGTTAGTTCTAAGCTAGTCTATCGTGAATAACATAGTTATTTGTTTCGAAAAAGAATATTAATTAATTAAATTTTTCAGAATATTTTTACTCTCAGTTAAGAAAACACTTCATTGACGAATCTAGCAGAAAAACAAAGATAATGAATTTTTCATACATGTTTTTCAAGAATAATGAATTAAATATGCAGACTGATATGACATGGTAAAAGATATTGAAAAGAAAAACATAAAAAAAAAACATTATATTCATTGTGGAAATATCATACATATTAAGATATAGAGCTCCTTCTAGATTGTATAAGGAACTCAAAGCCGGAGTCAAGACGTAAAGTATAAATATTAAAAAANTCCTATTCTACCATCTTTGCGACAGATTGATAACGAAAGAATTCCTTTTACTCGATATCCGTTAACATAACTAGATGCAAGAATCTTATGAGCTTCAAACATCGTTAAGTATCAACTAAAGAGAACAATGCCACATTGAATAATATTATTAAGAATATAAAAATTGCAGAATTTGTGTATCTCTATTAAGCATGGTTGCCTGAACCAAAGCCTCTTTAGTTCATTTATAAAAATATAACCTTTATGATGTTAATATTCATCAAAAGAATTTGGCCTATTAAGTTAAATGCAAAGTATTATGAGATTTCACGTTTTATGACAACACTAATTATTTTTCTAAAAAGAGAATATTTAATATGTACTATGTCGTAACGAACAGAAAAGTTGACAGAAAAGTATTTGTGAGAACTAAATTGCATTCATACCATTTCTTATGAATGATCTTAATAAAATTGCCGTGATATACATAATACAAATTAAAGTTAATATCACTTCTGATTTGAGAATAAATCTGTTCAATCGAAATAAACAATAGAGTATTCTGTGTCAAAATGAAGTTATTTATGGAAAAAGTAATTTTGTATTTTTTATTAACTAGTTTTCTTATTTATTTTTTAAAATAATATCCTGTCAAATTATTTTTTGTTTTTATTTCATTGATCTGCTACTTTATATTATTCGCAATTGTTTGAACAATAATAAAATCAATGGAAGAGAAGAATGTATATTAAATTTTCATGAAAACAACTATATTTTTCAAACATCTGCAAAATATTCAAATTAAATATTTTAAAAAAGCTCTTTCAATAGTTTATTTTAAGAAATAATTCAAAATGAATTAACTAGTTTATTTCTATATCATATTTTGTTCTACTTTCTTATATCCTTCAAACGTTGG